CGTCTTCTCAGACTTTCCAGACCCAGCCAACGTTCCAGCTTCCTATGGCTTCCGCCCATCACAAAAATAGTAGCTTCTGTCTCATAATGGCCTTCAGTGAATCATCCTCACTTCTCCCCTCTCTCTCATAAGCAGCTGTCGAAGGCAGGAGGAGACTCACAAGGCGATCTTATGCAACGAAGGCTTTGCATTTCGTAGCTGGCTGGGAGAGTCACTCGGCGGTCAAGGAGACACATTTTTGGAAGATCCCAAGTAATAGTTTATTGCTTTCCTTCATATAGGTCTTTCCCTTGCTTTCATGCTGATTTCTGGAAGGTTTATAATCTGTGGCTTTTATTACTCTCTTTTATGGGGTGGCTGGTTTTATTTCATGTTAGTCTATCATTAAATACCGCAAAGATTTTTAAAGTTACGACACTTTGGTGTGCCTTTGATGAGAGAGATACTGTATGGATATTGCTCATTTCTTTTGTTTATTTACTAGGTGTATTTCCATTTACATATTTACATCTTGCCTTTTTTTTTGCCCCAACGGATCCTTAGGTTTGTTATTACATGCTGTCAAATCGGCTCTGATTTAGGGTGACCCCACAGATGCGTGGTCTCCAAAGCATCTAGTCCTGCTCAGTTTTTGCAAATTCAAGGCTGTGGCTTCGTTTAGGGCATCAATCCATCTCGTATTTGGTTTTCCTCATTCCCTGCTGGCTTCAGAAGTGGGAGGGAAGTGGCACATGCTTTTTTCTTTTCTTCTTTTCCTGCACAAGAACCTGAGGCAAGAGGGTAGATTAGCCAATGGCTCTTTGCTGTCCACCTCCCAATCTGCAACTGGTCAATCATTTCTATTTAATCCAGTGTGACTGTTCCATATGCCTTCTGCATAAAATGGGACTTCCCATTCTCCATTGGTCAAAAAGCAATAAAAAGCTATAGAAATACAACATTCCTAAACACGAATGAGGTTGTAAAACAAAGACGTGCTGTAGATAAAATAGATTACTTATAAAGCAAGCACCTGTCTGATCAGGAAGGCCTTCCAGCAAGCGACTGTTAAAGAGGGTATCAGCTTAGCAAAGAATTCCAAAATTAAGGAGGAGCCACCGAGAACTGGAAAGTCGGACAGCAAAGCCAGGGAGGAAAGAAGGCCCCTTTGCTCGTTGATGGCTTCTGCAAGCATATATACGAAGCCATTTGGTATACAAGCCATAGTTGTTGTTACCGGCCATCAAGATGGTTCCAACTCTATGAATGAGTGACCTCCAAAATGCACCCCATTATCAGATGCCAAAATGCAGTTTCTCCTGGGATGGAGCAGCTGACCGGATAAGGGCCTCGTAGAGGACCTGCTGAAATGAGGGGAAATTCTAACCAGATGCATGTGGTGCCTCCCCCTGCCACCGCACAGCCTCTGTGCTGATTTTGCTCTGCTCTCTCATTTTTAAACCACTTCTGATCCCTGGAAACCAGCCGGAAACGAACCTCCCCTGCTGAAAAGCCAGGTCCCTGACCTTGCTTTTCATGGGACAGTTCCAATGAAAATGTCCAGATCCTGCAGTATCTTTGGCTGGTGACTCACCTTTGTGGCATCAAACACACTGAGTCAGACCGAAGCCAACACCCAAAGGATGCTTGGGTGGGGCCGGAAGAGGGGAAAAGAGGGTTAGCAGCAATTCTTTGGCGGTGACGGTTAGTTATAGCAAAAAGGGGCTTTGGTTCTGATGGAGTGCTGCAGGTAACTATGGGCAGCCAACAGCGGTGCCGAAAGTGTAGGGTGCAGGTCTCGGTCTGTTTAAGTCTTGAAGCTCTGGGGTTAAAATAGGATTAAAGTTTGCTGCTTGAACAGTGAAGAGGTAAAGACGGAGATCATTGATTCAATGGGCCTCCTCTTGCAAAGAATATCGGCTGGATTCAGGTCTTCGTTCTCTAAAACTGGTTGTGAAATGCGTTTGGCATGGAGTCTAGGGTGGCCTTAGAGCAGTGGTCCCCAACCTTGGTGGGTGGCCTTAGAGCAGTTGTTCCCCAGCCTTGGGCCTCCAGATGTTCTTGGACTTCAACTCCCAGAAATCCTGGCTAGCAGAGGTGGTGTTGAAGGCTTCTGAGGGTTGTAGTCCAAGAACATCTGGAGGCCCAAGGTTGGGAACCACTGCCTTAGAGGACTCTACTCTGTAAAGGAAGAGCATGTGGCCACTCTATCTGTGGCTGCATAGTCTGTTCTGTCCCTTTCTCTAGCAGGCCTGGTCCTTGAACGAAGGGTAACGGCAGCAACAGTGACCAACAAGGTGGAGCAGAAGGTCTGACAGATTGAAACAGGAAGGAGTAGTAACAGAAAGTTTACGGTGACAATTGTCCACAGTTGACTCATGATGTTTTACATTGCAGGCAGTGAAGCAGAGTCCTCTACCCCACTGGAAGCAGCCTCGTTTTGGGGGTGCAAGGAATGCTATATCCTCTGCCCCCCAAGAGAGGGAGATGCCCAGGAGAAGTGAGAGGAACTGTTGAGCAGAGTTGCCACTCCTGACCTTGGCATAGGCCACCTGAGGCAGTTTCCTCACTCTGCCTAATGGAAGGGCTGGCCCTACAGAAGTTACATTCATAGATACCGAGTCGATAATTGGTATTCATCGATACCAAGTCGAACTAGTCTGAACTGATTTACTCCTTTTACAGGTGTGACTAAGCCAGGGCAACAGCAGATTTGACTCACCGTACCAACCTTTATAGGGTGAAAAAAATCATCTCTTTGTTCATCATTGGCAATGGGATAAGATTAGGATCGTCTGCTGTTGGTACTCACAGGTGGGATGGCATGACAAGTGTTTACATAATTTCAACTGGTCTTCACCAGACAGGAGGAAACACAGAACAGGCTAGAACTGATATGGAAAGCTAGAACTGAGGAAACACAGGATAGTATTGAACTGATATGGTCATCGTGTTGGAGTTTTTACTCTGTCAAGTGCTCTTTTTTCTTTACTTTAGTCTGTTGGGTCGGTTTGTGTTTGTTGTTTGTTCTCAACTGAAGGTAATAAAACATTTTTATTTTTTTCTTGTACGGATGTCTGAGAGTGAGTTATTGAGACCATAAGTGCCAGTTAATGATAAAAGGGTGGACTATTTGGAGAACGTGGTGGCGCTGCGGGTTAAACCGCAGAAGCCTCTGTGCTGCAAGGTTGAAAGACCAGCCATCGTAAGATCGAATCCATGCAACGGAGGGAGCTCCTGTCACTTGACTCAGCTCCTGCCTACCTACCTGTTCAAAAGCATGTAACAATGTTAGTAGATAAATAGGTACCACCTCGGTGAGAAGATAACTGTGTTCAGTGTCTAGTCGTGCTGGCCACGTGACCGCGGAAACTGTCTTCAGACAAACGCTGGCTCTACGGCTTGGAGACGGGGATGAGCATCGCACCCTAGCATCGGACATAACTGGACTAAATGTCAAGGGGAACCTTTACCTTTTTACCTGGGGAACATGTCGCTCTTCACCTCTGTGGATCTCTGTACTTCGACAGTAGCACAAGGAATGTTTACCAGAAATTCAACACTCTGGAACACATCACATCTGTGATCCAGCCCTTCAGCCCATTTTGGCATCCTCTCCCTGCATCGACTCACTTCAGGTGACCCAAATTTAACCAGCAGGGTAGTAAACCTATCCAGACACTAAAATTATTACTCAGTTTTGAACCCTTTCCCCTCCCAACACATGCTCACACAGCCATTTTTGACCTCCCTCTGACCACATGGGAGAGAATGGTTAAGGAAGAGTGGGGAAGAACCAATCTCTCTTAGCAGACAGTTGAAAAGGTGTTGAATAATTAGGGGGAGAACTGAGTTCAGATTGGTGGGTTCATTCGTTCTGTGCCTCCCTGCTTGTGAAAACGGAGTAACACAAATGATTCAGCCCAGACAGCTGTCATCAAGAGTCTGGCAAAGCTTCACACACACTCTTACCAAGCCTTGTATGAATGGTTATTATTAATAACCCAATAGCCCAAGGCGAAATTTGCCACAGACTTAACTGACTCATTCACTGCCACGCGGTTGTGGGGATTTCAGTCGAGTGCTTTTAATGCCACTCCACCCACAACTGTTTCTCCTGCTCCTATGCTCAGCAGAGAGTGCTCCAGAAGCGTGGTTACCTCTTTTTTTAAAAAAAATTGTGCTCAAAACTAGAGGTTTTCAAATCTCCCTGGAAGTCGTATTTCGACTGGGAAGCCATGTTGGATCATGTGATATAAAAGACGTGGGTCTTTCAGCTACTGGCCATGCGGTGGTCTCACTGGGAGCTGTTGTGGTACACGTTGACATGTGGGGTCTCCTCACAGCAGTAGACACATTCGAAAATACGTGGGTCTTTCAGCTATTAGCAGTGTGGTGGTCTCACTGGGAGCTGTTGTTGTCACACAACTAGGTTGCAGTGGAACATGTTGACACTTGGGGTCTCCTCACAGCAGTAGACACATTCTGAAAGTGAATTCAGAAATGCAGATCGGTTGCTGTGGGCAACAAACCAGTTTCGTCAGCTTTCACTTCTACGTCTTTTGTAAAGCCAATGGCTCTTAATAGCTACTTCAGGATCAAGCAACTCCCGTTGTATTATTCCTCAGAATATTGTGAGGGGAAAAAGGACATCTGAGCAGGATGGCAGAGCACATCACAATCTTGCATCTTGACACTATAAAGCACTGCTCACTTACACCACTCTTCACAAAAGAAAACGCATACGGTTGTACCGAAAGGGGTTCTTCTCCCTTTGTAGAAATGAGGAGGGTCATTCTGGATGGACCCATAATAGTTGAAAAGATCGGAACTGTGATATTGAAAACTGGAACAGTGGGGAAAAAAAGAGGTGATGGGGGCAGAAACCTGATCCATTCAAAATGCGGTGCTAGAGGACAGTTTGATGGTTATGCCAGAGAGACAAATAAGTGGGTTCTACAGCAAATCAAACTTGAGTTCAACCTGGAAGCAAAAATGACTGAACTAAGGCTTTCATATATTTAGATTCATTCAGAGAAGAGAAGACTCACTGGAAAAGACAATGCTACGGAATAGGGAAGGCAGGAAGGAATGAGGAAAACTAAACAAGGAATGGATCAACTCAGGAAAGAAAACCACAGATTCTAGTTTGCAAGACTTGGACAGTGATGTTAATAGTAGGAATTGTGGGAGGTCCTTAATTCATAGAGTTCGTGTGCATTGTCAGTTACTGTTGTGGCACATAAAAACAACAAAATTCCCCTCAGTTTTCC